TCACTGCTCTCAAAAGTAAATGTTTAATTGTTCTTACCACTCCTGGTGCAAGATTTTTCAAATTAATTATTGATATTTTATCGTCTGGCTGGATGTGTTCATAATCATAAGGATCATCAAACGTCAACGGCAACATTCCTTGCTTCTTTAAGTTAGTTTCTGTTGAACAAATTCATAACATTTGTATTATAGGTGCAAGATAATTGACCAGATGTGTGACGTACGAGTGAACTTTAAACTTGATTTGTCCAGGCATGTATGAGATATTTCACCATGGAACTGTATTCTTTAAAACAAAAATGGCGCCAGTCTGCCATTTTGAACCCGATCCCCAAAACTAAAATTACATGCACCATATTATGGTCAGTGTCTGTAACCAAGTTTTTGAACAAAATATGTTCACATATCTATCAGTGGACCTTTTAGTTTAGTTGGGCTGTATGACAACTAAACATGCATGTGTGTTTTCAATGTGCCACGTTTTAAATTAGTTCAAGTATTCGTAAATCCACAATATATTACATATGTAAAAGAATATCAGCACCATAACTGTCTGTGTACTAAGTTTTGACAATGTGCATTGACTAAATTTGTAAACAAATTTAGCTGCCTTGGATTATTTCCAAACAGGTTCAATGGCTGTGAACTTCCTTAGAGACGATAAACGAGTGGCTAAAATCAACATTTGTCATCTTTTATTAAAGCAAAATTCACATAATTTTGTCAAGATTTGAAGGAGGAACCCTGATGGTAATACAATAACAGCCACTGAAAGAAGTAAGATACTGTAGAATACTTTATTTTTGCTTGGAATTTATTTTCGCTGAAGGTGAGATTCCGTGAAAATAAAATCCAGCGTATATACTTTTTTTCTTGTATTTCACATTAAACTCATAAAAAATCATTGAAAATAAATTCCATACAAAACGCCCAAAATGGCCTTTTCCACGAAAATTAATTCCAGTGAAAATATAGTATTCCACAATACCAAGTCATTTTGGGGTGTTATTTGTTCTGTGTGGCTGTGAATGTGTTTTAAGGTACTCACCGTGTATACGGGCAAAACTCTTGACAATGATGGCCCTACCACCAAGATGTCTTGGTTCCAGTGCAGCATGTTCGCGACTACTGCCTTCACCATAATTTTCATCACCAATGACAACCCAAGGTATGTTGTTGGCCTGTCCAAAATAATCAATTACATCAGTGAGTTATTTGATGTACTACTTTGACAGAGGTTCATTTGGAAGGTGGTCATCGCAATATGCATGTACGGTACATGTACGAGATGTGGGTACCATACAAACAAATATGATGACTTTAATTGCTGTGCATATCAACATTGAAGTACAAAAAAGAAAAAAATCATTTACATTCAAATAAGGAATTCTTAAGATGACTGGATTGCGTTAAAGTCAGTATTTAATGCACATTGCGAACAGATCAAATTGTACTTTTCTTAAAACAGCATAAAAGGGTCTAAATCTCCCTGCTCTAAATAGCTTTTGAGTTGACAACACACATTTGTGGGATAAATACCTACTTTGTAATACCTAGCAGTGTCTGGCACACTTCCATATTCGCCCGTCACTAAGTTCTTCACTTTATTCACTTCACCATTTTCAGCATTGACAGCACTGAAGAAAACAAATTAACTACTCAGTTTGTACACATGTTGAAATGAATAAGCTATCAAAAATGAATAGAGCAACAAGTTGCAGGCTTTAACACAAAACATTAAGACTGATCTATGAAAGAAGTTTGAGGCTGAAACATTTTTGTTGCGAGTTGTCTTATAGAGGCTTTCGCGATCTCTGGTCCATATGGTACCATGTATGCAATATCACTGGTATCCTTATGTATGCTGTAGCTCATGCAGCGGTGAAACAGCCATGAAAAACGGGAGCAAATTGACAACTTAAAAAACAATTTGTCTTCCAACTGCAAAACTGACAAAGGCACAGACTCAAAAGAACAATCATAAACCGAACAACTCAACAGTTGCACAGTAAATTAATCATGAATATGACTGACAAGATAACATGTTTAGAAATAAACACTTAAGGAAAACTTACCCAATAAATAAATTGTTTGAAATGTTATCAAGGTGACCACGGAATTTAAGCCAGGGTCCAGCAGCACTGATGTGATCTGTTGTACATTTTCCTTTAGTCTGCAAGAAACAATTTGGTATTTTTAGGTGTGTCACTTTTACAAGGAAACAATGCACTTTCAATGGC